TAGATTAGTTTTACATAAAATTCACCATGTTTCTTACTTTATTATTATTCCATGAATAATTCTAATTTATTTCGTCTTGGGAAAATTTCCATGAAATAAAATTCTTCCTTACGTTTACGTTGAGAATTTCATTGTGACGTAACGTCGTTTCTCGAGTCTATTACTCTTAACACCGTAATTTCTGACTTAACTACGGTTAGAAAATTCATATTTACAGTATAAAAACACATTTTTAAAAAAATTATACACGCGATCGTTTACGATAAGAAGAAATGCCTTGCGTATATTGTATTAATTTAATCGGAATTAATTTTTTGAAATAATTATATTATTCTGTAAATTAAAATTAATTCTTCCGTTCCAATATTCACTAATTATCTCAAATTTTAAAGGAAATTAGAATAATCTTATAATATAATCGAGATGGATTGATAATAATAATAAAGTGCAAAGCACAAACGGTTGAATTTGGTACGCGGGGTACTTCTTAGTGTACGTCACGAGAATGTACACTAAGAAGGGATTTTTCGAAATTTCCCCGCGAGGGAGAGAATTAATTACTGTATTTGAAGTTTCAAAAACTGTTCTATTCTTATTATCACTATTAATTCTACGTAAATACACTTAAAACTGGTAGTTTGTCCGGTGGCGTAACGTAACTGTCGCGGCCCGATGATGTCGCGCGATTTAGTATCGCATTATTTGACCTAGATTCATCGGCTAATTTTTTATATTTGTTTGCGGTGGGATTTCGGAGGAGGCCGGGCGACTCGGTCCGCCGTAGTTACGCCACTGGCAATATATTCAAATACAAACACAATTTTTAAATTGTGTTTTATAAATAGTAAAATTTTACAAAAAAATTAAAGTCTCGCGCAAAACAATAGGCCTATACATATTAATGACCCGAAAATGAGCATAAATACGTGTATATATATGTGTATAAATGGTTATATACAATAAGAGGATCGAACGAATATTCACGATTTTAACCCATAATCTATTTTAAAAGTTATTAAAATTGGTCGACGTTAAATCGTAATGATGATAAAATTCCCAACGCAATCGTCATCCATATTTAAATGACACGCATCGGAATGTATTGCCGTTTATTTCAAAAAGCAATACGAATAGTCTTTTGTCACATCCGAGATAAATTGTCACATGGGGATTATTGGTCTAGTCTGAGAATCGCGTCACAAAGCGGTGAATGAATTTCTGCTTTCTCCCTTCCGCTTTAACGATCTCGAGGAATGGCGAAGAAATGTCTCTTCGTTCTCTCAAAATGCACCGTCATTTCTTTCCCAAATTCCTCCATTTGTTTTTATTTTTTTTTTATTTTCGGCTTCGGCCATACGAGGTCTACGAGATTAATTGAATCGAAGGTTAAATATTTCGTCGAAGAAAAAAATCGAATTAAGAGAAGGTAAAGCTATCAAAATTTGCACTAATTTGAAAGCCTCTTCCGCCATCTTTGAAAGATATCGGAAAAAACGTTCTCTTCGAATTTCTCGGCTGTGCCGAAGCAACGGCGAGAGAATTTCTTCTCTATTTTAACTTTTTCGAACGTTGAGACGGAGCACTTTACGCTGGATTTCGATTTCCGTTTTCCTTTCGGCTCCATCTCCCTTTAGAACTTCGTAAAAGCCAATCTCAATCTACTTACTTTGGTTTTGTCTCGATGATCTCGAGGTTTTCCGGGTGGATACGTTCGGATGCTGCCAGGACGCCGAAGGAAGTTCGGTAACGTCTACATCCGAGGACTCCGGTGAAGATCGCTATTGTCTAAATCTTTTTGATATAAAGATTCTAGTGGAAACTTTCTATCTGCTGGGACCTTCGGATATTTTCACCATTCTGGCGGGCGCCCACTAACTCTCGCATCCTTTGGATGTTTTGTCGGAGAATCATTTTTCGCTTCCTCTCTCTTTTTACTCTTATCTTCACTCGAAAGTCTTCGACCGAAGATTCGCCGATCCAACTTCAAAACCTCTTCTTTTCGCCCATAATTTTCGATTTTCGTTTTGTACGGGATCCATCTAGAGCATATTTTATCGTATACTCGTATAATATGATATACATAATACATTCTTAACAGGTACCTTAATTTAGTAAGACGATAAAACTAGCAATATTTACCGGATATAATCGTTCATTTTTTAACTACTTAAAAGGGGGATTAAAAATTAGAAGGATATAACATAAATGGAAAAGTTCGAATCCGACCTTCACCCGAGTTCGAGAATTACTCGGAAATTCGGTTTTTCATTCCCGTAGAAAGTCTTCCCGGAAAGTACCGCTGTGGGCGTGTGTCGAATTGCCTTATTCCATCGATCCAATCCTAATATTGCATTTGACATCGTACATATTCAATTTTTAAAAGCGAAATATGTCTACGTAACGATGTCAAAAGCGTTTTAAAATTACAATTATATTACGAAATTGTAATTCCTAATATTAAAGTGTAAAAGTTAATTTTTAAAATGATTAAAAGATATCCCGATTACCCGAATATTTAAAGAAAAGCGCTTTCTGTTTTAAAATTTCGAGCGTATAATGTCCACGCGATGATTAATTGATAATCTTTTACATAGAGAAACGTCGAAGCTCGATATGCGAATACTGGCCAAGAGATCTTGGTTATAAATATTAAACGGGTAACCCTTCGATAAACCTCCGTAGACCGTATCCGCGAATTTGCCTTTCAAACGACGGTGTAATTACCAGATCGAATGACTTTCTAAACGCTAAATCTCGAACTCGTCTTTATGCCTCGGAATATGCAATTCTTATTGTTTGAGGTTATTCGCCTGGATCGAATGCCGTGTCTAACTGATGTTTAATTGCTTTGCCTGGATCTATTGAGAAATAAAATAATAAAAACAATAATGATGAATGAAAGAAATATAAAATTGGTTTTTCAGATATTAACCGGCATAAAGTTTTATTTATCGAAGAAAAGTTCATTTTAATTAACCTGGAGGTTGTCGTACGCTACGTTAAAAGAATCGAGTGAGATTTTGATAGATGGCTGTAAAAGCGTCGAAAGATAGTCGGAGCGACATTATTCGTCAGAATATCGATACAAAATTAACTTTAACTTTGTTTCGAACGCAAAATTTGTCTAAATTAATTAATATAACTTTTAATCGAAATATTAAATGTTTTTCCAAGTGGTAAAGAATTCGCTTTGCGACTGGTAGCCACGTTGCTGGTTTACAATGGAAATTAATCGGTAACGGTGGCCGAAATGGCTAAAGTTTCGTCTATAGCTCCGAGAAAAAGGTCTCTCGGTAGGCACACCCTTGGCACAGCACCCGCGTGTTACGTTGCCACATTCCATCGAGCCAACCAAATTATCGATTTGGGGAAGCCGGAATCGAAAAACCCCCAGAAATTTTGATGGGTTCTGGGTATATCTGGCCCGCCTCTCTCGCTACCCGGTCGCCCCACCGTGGATCTGGCCCAAATCGCCGCGGTATAATTAAAAGGCCCTCTTAGAGCCGTGCAGAAGAAAGAATCAAAAATTAATATAATTTCTATAATTTCTAAAACGCAAACGAAAAGCGAATGCGACAGAAATTAACGTAGTTGTTAATTTCGTTTTCATTAAACGAAGCGAATGGACTTTTTAATATAAGATTTGTAGAAGGAAACTAATGTATTTGTAGATAATAAAATGGATACAAATAAATTATTCGATTTAAAAATTCAAATAGGAAAATGATTTGAAAATATTCCACAAAAATTTCTTGTTAAATGAAATTAAAGTCGATTTATTAATGATAATTATATCTTTTGTAGTTTACGGGTAAATGTAGCTAATAAAAGTTATAAATAAAAGTATTTTGGGTAAAATATAGTCGAGATAACTTATGTAAATGCATGTATTTGCGTATAAAACACACAAAAAATGAAAAAAAGTTAATGTCAGTATCAATAGAGACCTTTTCTTTTGATTTTTATTCATTTAATAATCGTTGATGTAGAATTTATTCTATATTTTTGTTCGTTTCGTCTTTATAGAAAAAGGAAGCGTACAATAATTAAAGAATTAAATTATATGTCTACTAGCAGACCCTGCCACGCCTTGCTGTGGCTCAAAATGTATCTATTATAAATGTGTTATAACACTTCCCTTGTGGAAGGGGGAATTTTTCGAAAAATTTCTTCTTAGTGTACAGTACATTCTGTTGACGTACCCTATTAAAACGCAATCATAAACGCAAAAACCCGCATCTGAAATAGTATAATAGAAGTGAAGTTCTTCACAGTAAGCCTTAATNAGGCTTCTTCTCCTAATATTTTATATCTGGTTTCGACTTTTATCTATCTAACGCCGTTCTCGAGATTAATGACGGACGGACGAAAGTGGGATTTATAGGTCTACAAATTTTTCAAATTGCATCCCGATGACTGGAAAAATATTAGACTAGAAAATATTTTTAATTAAAAATCACAACATTTAACATTTTTATCATATTTTAAATTTACAGATTTCGGGTAATAAGTAACATAAAAAATTATCTTATAATATCTTTTGTTTAAAGATATAGGCTAAATGATTATATATTTTACCCGCATCGAATGCCAACCAGTAGTCGAGTGGATAAAAAAAATCCGAACACTCGTCGCGGGTTTGCTCCTAGACCACGTGGAACTTTTCGGTTTCCTTCGCGTATCTAACACCTAAATAGGGGTGAGTTTCCCGTAAAAGTCATCCGCCAGACACCTTCTCTTTGGTGGATCTGTCGCGCGTTGCCTTAATCATCGATACAATCGTTGTCTAGGGCCTCTATCTCTAGCAATGGCGAATTCTCTATTAACGTTATCCAGATTATTTTTGTTATTACTAAATCTGAATTTTCTTACCAAGTGGTCGGATGAATTTTCGGACGTACGACATTTTAATGAAAAATTTCTACATTGAAATTTGCCAAATTAACTTAATTTATCGAGTAAAATTTACGCGTTGTAAATATAAATTGTATATTTGTTAGGAGGAATTTACACACCGGATTCTATTTCTGGAAGAATGATCGCCGGTACGTGGTGGTTAGCCATGGTAGTAATTTTTTCCACCTACAGCGGTAATCTCATCGCATTCTTGACCTTCCCCGAAGCAAAATGGATCGTCGAGAATATCAAAGATATCATTAACGCGCCACATTTAAAGATATATATCGGAAAATCTGCTCCTATTATCGAAGAAATGGAAGTAAGATACCTTAAAACGTTTCCATTTAATTTATCATACGAATATTTAACCAGTTATTTTTATAGACGTCGACCACCCATGTGATGAACCAACTCCACAAACAATATTCGATCCGAGGCCAAGGAGTACGGATGAATTCGTACATCAAAAAGGAACTCGAAGCCGGAAGAGCCGTTTATATGGACGATATCTATCATCTGTTAGGAATCATCAATAAAGATTTCAATCGGCACGGCCGCTGCCGATTTTCCATACCTCATTACAGATACTACCAATTAGAAATGTCTATGGGCTTAAGAAGAGGAAGTCCGTACTTTCGCTCGTTTAATCAAATGTACGTAGATCGGCTCGATGTTTATCTCGAAAAATCTATACGTTTTACGCCTGCCAATATTTAATTTTTCGTTGCAGAATTAAAGAATTATGGGAAACCGGCATGTTATCTCACTGGCATAAAAAATATAGTTGGATCGAACAGAAATGCGAAGTGACAGACACCACTCTGAAGGGAGGAGGTAGAAACGTCGAGCTGAAAGATTTGCAAGGGGCTTTCTACCTATTGTGTTTAGGTTTAGCCACGTCAGTCTTAACAATTATCATCGAGCAGGTTAGCCGAGTAATCGATAAATTCAAACTTGGGAAAAAATTGAGAAAAATGAAGTAAAATCTCGTAACTGATTTTTACGTAATTTCGCACCAAACAGTACTTATTCCAATGATTCTGCCGTTTATTTCGATGCATTATTACCGTTCTTACTTTACCACACAAAACGGAAGAATTACCTAACGATTACGCGTTGTAATTAGGTACGAGTTAGAGATTTCTATTGGTTAACGCGGCATTGGGTAATTGGAAGATTTGTAATTGTTATAGTTAAGCCACCCGTCACTAGATGGCGATAGGGTGTTTTTATATATAAAAGCTGGGTGGAAGTGCGAGGTGAAATGGTGGCAAAATGTCCTGTTTCGGAGAAGATTCTATTAAAGTTTCTAGTAAGTAAATAGCTTATTATATTGTATGCGAGTGGGTATAAAAAAGCGAAATTATTGAGATAAACCATTGTTTTCTGCTTACGATACTAGAAAAACGCGATTGATAATTTGCCCGGTCCAGACGCATATGCGAGAGATCTTGGCTTAACACCTTAAATTCTCTTAAAATACGCATTTAAAAATAATAATAATAAACGCTAGTTATTATTGTTAATAAAATAATAAGTGCCACACCTTATATAATCGTTAAAACCATGTGTTAGAACCGTAGACACTAACATAAACACCAACTGTTACTATGGTAACCACGTATATGGCCCTATCGATTATAAAATACCTTACATTAAAAATTTCGGATAAATTAATTTTTATAAAAATTAATTATTATAGTCTATATATAATAATATAAGAAACTATTGCGTATTAAGATTTTTAGCTGTGTTATTACGGAATGTTGGGGGATTTATTCTCTTTCCCGTTTATTCTACTAAAAAAATTACGTCGGAATTGCCGTAATATATTTAATTAATTAATTATCTGCAAATTTGTATGACTAAAATCATACAAACTAGTAGTCGTGGCCGTAGAGGGTATCGGGGCCCTATAACAAATTTAAAATTATTATACGGTATTAAAGCGAAGGAAATAAACGAAAAAACATGGCGCCGGACCCCTACTCGCTCGGACTTTGAACAATTTGCCCCTTTCGTTTCCTCCTCCTCCGGGTGTCCCGGTGGTAGCGGAGTTTTATTTATGTATTTCGCGGATAATTTCTCTTAAACTTTATATATTTATCTTAGAAAGGAATTTTCAAAACAAGATGCATCCTTAATTTCTATTATTTTTCTATATTTACAACAATAACGTTAGGTTTGAATGGTCGACGTATTCGCAAATTGTAAAAGTGAAGTCGTAACGCATTTAAAAATACCGTATTTTTGATCTTAAGGATTGTATTTAAAATTAAATCGAATCTTTAATTAATTATAAAGCAATATTTTACAAATAGTTTGATGCCTCTTTCGTTACTTTAGCGCATTCGTCGTCTTACATTATTTTGTATACGAGACATTAAAAACTTTCTTTTACTGCCAGAAATTAACAAAAAAAAATGTCATCTTTATCGATAAACTAAGAATTATATGAATAAATATGGAAGAAGATGCATTATATAAAAGGTTTACAGGAAATACTAACGATTTAC